TTAGATGGTTGCCAAATACTCCTGCGGTTTTAATGCTGCTAATAATTTAATAAATTTATAAGGAGTAAAGCAAACGTGTTCAACTGGTTTAGGTCAGTTAACCTCTTCGAAGATCCCAAGATCTTCGGCTCAGGGGTGAGTGCTGCGCCACTCGTGTCTTTGATCAGGACAGGGGCTTTGAGGAGCCTGCCTGGGGACAAGTATGAGACTCTGCCTGTCATGTTGTGGTGTTTTTCAGAATTTTCACAGGACGTTCTTGGGCTCAGCATCTAAATGAAAGGTGCCAAGCTCAGATTGAATCTTGCTCTTTTTGGGTTTAATCCTCAGGCATAGAGGAATGTAAAGGGATCTGGTTGCTGAACAGCCTAGGATTCTTCTCAAAAGATCCAAACCAAAATTTAAGGTTCTGCACAAATACAAAAAAAATGTAATCTGTTCTGTTCAGCCTGCACAAATCAGCACTGGCCATAGAAACAAAAAGTGCTGACAACGCGGGGTATGGTAATTGCTCGTAGCCCAGGCTGTTAAGCAAAATAAAACTCTCTAGCATTCAAAATTAAAATAAACACTGCTGGTTAATTTCACTGAGAGAGATGCCTGATAATATTGGATAAGATGTAAGAATTTAAACCACATGGAATTATGGTTGTGAACTTCTTTGGTTTATTAATGTATTAATAATTGTACAGCATACAGAGAACTGTTATATTCCACAAACACTGATTGCGTCTGTACTTCACATTATCCAAAAAGGGGTAAAAGCAAACTGAAAGGAAAGAGCATGTGAATTGCTGTGATTCCGCCCTCCTTGCACTGATTTGGAATCTCTTTTCTTACAATACAGCCTAGGAAGGCTCTCTGCATAGATGTATCAGCACTATATATTAGGTACAAGTTATAGTGCATAATTATATAATGTAAATACAGTTTGCACTGTGTTTATGAAACCTTGCTGTATTTTATATTCTTTCCAGGTAAACATTTCCCCTTTAGGACAGATCACTGTTTGCAGAAATCATTTTTGACTGCTGAGCTCACATAGCCATGCAGTCTTTCTGGTCACTAGTTAATGAGTTCCCAGAAGAACTTTGTTTGTTCTGTCTGAAGCAAAGGCCAAAGCGATGGCTGTTCTACCTCTCTAGACATCTACAATAAGCTAGTAGTGAAACCATTTGGTAAAGTACAAAATCACTTTAATTTTCTGAGTTTTTTTCCAGGCCCAGCTGGAGTAATCTGAGGGGTTTATAAAACTCATCATATGTGATATTATCTGCAGCCACAGACAATGCTCTGTAGACAGGAGTGAAGTAGTTAGGATGAAACAGTTTAATTCCATGTTTCTCAGAAGTTGTCCTAACCATTTAAATTTCAATTTCTGCGTGTGCTGTGACAGCAGGATCAGATGTGCTGCATGCATCGACAGTGCCTCACAGGACTGCTCATTTGTTCATCTCCCCTTCCCAGCACCTCCTCAGCAGGGCACCAGGTGCCCTCTGAATCTAGAGCTCTGCTGTAACTCAGCCCAGTCCTTCTGTGACTCTTTCATGCCCTGATCCTGTGATGCTTTAAAGGCTGGAAAATATTTTGGGAGCCTTCATAACCTGCAGACCCAGCAGCCAGGCTAGGGAGTGGCAGTCCTGGTCCTAAGCATGTGTCCAGGGGTCAGGATTCAATGTAGGTATGTGCAAGGGCAGCCCTGCTGTTCCTAGCACTCCGCACTAATAAACCCTGCGGGAGAAGGAGGGGGCTGGCTCTGCCAGCCCGGGGCTGTGCTGCTCGTGGTGGTGCTGTGGCAGAGCTGCAGATTCACAGGCAGGTTCTCCCCCTTTTTACTGCATTGTCTTCCTCTGAGGGAAACTGGAAGGCTTAAGTGACTGTGGGCAGAACTGAAATCCTGGGTGCGAAGTGCCGCGCGGGTTTGGTACTGACTTGTTCTGCGGTTCTGTTAAACAAGCACTAGGTGTCATCTGTGGGTAATGACTGGTGCTCAGACGTGCAATGGGAGAAAGCCCTGCTCAGGAGAATTAGAACCTCAGTGGAACAAAAGCGAACAGAGGACAAAGATCCTCATCCAGGATAATTTTTCTCTTCCTATGGTCAAATGCTAACTGCAAACCTGCCTGGGTGGCTGGGGATGCAGAGGCAGCCGCTCTGCTGTACTGGGTGCATCCATCACTTTTCACTGTGTTCTCACACTGCAGGCAGAAGATGATTACCCACACTTTCCTATCTGCACCTGAGTTAATCACAGGGTGGCTGGCTTCTTTCGTGGTTGGTGGGCTATACTGGCAATTTCCCCTCCTGACAGAGGTATATAAGAAAAAGGACATAGTCAAAATGAATCAACGTGAGTTTGTCTGCATCTTACAAGTGAGGGATTTGGGATACTCCACATATTAAGGAGGATTTCAGCTCTTTTACTGAATGTGAATCCATGTCATATGAGTGTTTTGGTCTTCCAGATGCCAGGCACATCAAGACAGGAAGAAGATATGATAAACCAGGCCAAAAGAAAACTGCGCAATACCACTGACCCTATAGAGAAACTTCGTCTGCAGTGTTTAGCAAGGGGAGCGGCAGGCATTAAAGGACTTGGCAGGTGAGTTTAAGAAGCCAAAGCCATTATTCAGCCTAATAGTTTTTCTGGGACCAAACCTTGGGTTTCTTGGTTCCAATGCAAATACCACAGCCCCCAGAGTCTGGCCTTGGGGCTCCTATATTTTGAGGCACAGGAGTGACCTGCTTGCTTGTTGAAAGACTGAGGACTATGAATCCCTCACATCAAGGTGTTTCTGTGAGACCAGAACAATTCCTGCCTGGGAGAGAAGGGAAAAAACCCTATATATCTTTCTTTGGTGTTTTCTAATATTATTTCAATACTGGGTGTTTTATGCTTCCTTTTTTCAGGCCGTGATTCCCTTGTGTGTAATGGTCTAGTTTGTGGCAGGCACCTAGGCTCTTTTTGCCATCATCCCCACCACTAGGAAAGGGGAGCTGCATCACACCCTGGAACCCCTCCCAGGCCCCTTAAACCAGGTGGTGACCAACTGGAACTTCATCTAAATGTCCAACTCCCATAGACCGCCATGTATAATGAAAAGGAAGACCATGTCACCCTCTCCCTCATTTAACTTCAGATGTGTAATATTAAGGAACCCAATCTAAACAAGTCATCTCTGCTGCCAGTAAGCATGGGAGGCTTTACTGGTGGTTGGGTTTTTTTCTCTTTCTTTTTTTTTGTTCCTTCAGAAGTCATAGAAGTCCTAGAATCAAGTCTGAAAAAGGGGGAATGTTATCTCAGTGAGGTGACTCTGTGCTCCAGCACCTTCCTACCCCACTGTAGCATTCTCCATGTTTTCCTATGTATTTCCTTAAATTTCACATTTTCTACAGACTATTTCGGACTTTGGATGCAAACAAGAGCGGAGCCCTTGATTTTAAAGAGTTTTCGAAAGGATTGAATGATTATGCTATAATGATCAACAAGGATGAAGCACGAGAGATTTTCCAGATGTTTGATAAAGATGGCAGCGGAAAAATTAGTTTTGATGAATTTCTTGTTATGCTGAGAGTAAGTCTGGGAATTTATGTTAATACTGTGTTAGATGGTGAAAAATTTAGCAGAACAGAATAGAATATATGCAAAAAAACCTGTTGTGATTTTTTTACAGTGAATTGCAGCTTTGATTTAGTTACCTAAATTCCTGCAGTCTGGGTACTTACGTTGTTCAGCCCATTAGTCTCACTTCTTTGTTCACCATTTTATGATGCATCTCTTTGTAAAATGAAATAATTCAGGAGAGATTTTCTCTAATCAACCACAGTGTGACTGATTGTGGTTGGAGTCTCTTTGATCTGCTAAAATCTAAACAATTAAGACAGAAGATATTAGTCCATAGAACAGTTAGTAATTTTGTGTTAGAAATATTTAAAACAGGTAGAACAGAGGAGTGTTCTATGTAGCATTTTCCCTCATTGTCCATTTACTATTTGTAGAATCATAGAATGTTAACGGGTTGGAATGGATCTTGAAGATCAACTAGTCCCAACCCCCCCTGCCATGGGCACAGACACCTCCCACCAGAACAGGTTGCTCAAGTCCTTATCCAACCTGGCTTTGAACACTGCCAGGGTTGGGGCATCCACAACCTCACCAGGCAACCTATTCCAGGGTCTCACTACCCTCTCAGTAAAAAATTTCTTCCTAATAGCTAATCTAAATTTCCCCCCTTGCCATTTACACACATTACTTCTTGTCCTATCACCACAGAGTCCCTCTCTAGCTTCCCTGTAAGCCCCTTCAGATACTGGAAGGTTGCTATGCAGTCTCCATGCAACCTTCTCCTTTCCAAACTGAACAGCCCCAACTTTCTTATCCTGTCTTCATAGGGGAGAGGCTCCGGTCCTCTTCTCAATTTTGTGGCCTCCTCTGGACTTGCTCCAACATTTCCATGTCCTTTTTATGTTGGGGACACCAGAACTGTATGCTGTATTCAGTTTGTTGCCCATACTACATGTGTTTGTGTATTAGCATCTGTTGGTAGATACTGAATAGTCTCAATTGCATTGCTTTTTTGATGTTATATTGCCCTTTCTAGCTCATGGACTGCTAGCAGTTTTTTGTACCATGTACCTTGAAACAGTTTTACTGCTAACAACCGCAGGTACTTGAATTTGGAACTTGGAAAGTAATTGGCAAAAATAAAATGATTCTGTTAATATTTCTTTACAGCCTCCCATGTCAAATGTAAGAAGAGAGATCATCATGCAGGCATTCCAGAAGTTAGACAAAGGGGGAGATGGTATTGTAACAATTGAAGACTTACGTGGAGTGTTTAACGCTAAGCATCATTCGAAATACCTAAATGGAGACTGGACTGAAGATCAGGTGTTTAGGGCCTTTCTGGATAATTTTGATTCACCCTATGAAAAAGATGGAAAGGTAAGCTAAACACCTAATGTCAAGCCATTAAATCACCATCTGACTCAGCATTTGACTTATATTATTAAATGTGAGTGCAATTGTAATAACAAACATGCATTCGAATCACATTTATAGCAGACAGTGAAGTAGATGCACAACCTGTGCATAAGGACTGCTGGTACATCTTGCTTGCACATTTTGAGGCAAAGGGTCTCTGCATGAGGTGCAAGTGTAGTCATGAGACTGCATTACCAGGCTTGTAGCCTTAATTCTCTAATTTCTTAGATTACTGTGATGTCAGACTATGCCACAAAATTGCGAGGATTCCACACAAATCGGAGGATTTTTCACTTCTTAGGAGAATAAATACCAAGATCCAGTTCAAAAGCAGCTTCCCTAATATGTTAAATATTTTACAGTTAGTGCTTCTATGGTGTAATTACTGAGACACTTGACTTGGAAATCAGTCCATAAGAGGGACAGATTTATCTACAGAGACTTGGAGAGAGGATGGGATTAGGGTTGCTAGCACCAGCTGTGTGCCCTGAGCAGCCAGATGCTGGAAAAGAGCTGGGAGCTCTTCCTGCCCTCTGCCTCAACTCTCTGGTGCAGGTGCAAAGCCTGGGCACCTTCTGTGATGGACTTTGTATGCTCCATTTGCTTTGTTTCCAACACCCAGGCTCTCAGTTGTTGAAAGGTGAGGGTTTTATTTCCCTTGGGCATGACTTTGATTTCAGTAGAGCTGAATTTCATCCCTTTTGCTCGTGTCATCCTCAGAGATGCTAGTTTTGTGCCAGCCATCCTCTCCCTTTTCTGCAGCAAGGGTCTAGCAAGTCTCAAATAAAATGTTCCTGCTTTTTCTGCTGAGTGCATGAATGCATTACACGAGTCCCCAAAGTGATCCTTGATGAGTTCAGTGTCTTGTTTCCCTGAGAACTCACCTCTCGATCAGCAATCTCACCTGATTGCTGTTTCTTCTGAGAACTGATTGTGACTTTCCTGTGGCTGAATCAGAAGTCATTAACGACAATGAATACCTAAAATATTTTTAGTAGACGTTCCTCAAGGTTTTGCTAGAAAGGACCTCTTCACTGTGATCTTGCCATGTGTCTCTGGAACAGGCAGGGTCAGGGAGGCTTGTAATTAGTTCCTGATAGTAGGACAGTATAGAGTGGTCACTTCTCTCTATTGTCATATATTACTTAGCTCTCAAATGCACAGTGAAATCAGAGCAAATGTTTTTCGATGTGATGTTTTTTTCAAAGAATGACCTACAGGGTTCAAGAGTTAAGGCATCACTGTTTCTATCTGCTAATTTGATTATTACTTATTTAATCATCATTTTAAAACAGTTCAACCTCAAAATACACATGAAGGATATTCAAAACTTAGGTATTTGAAAGAATGTTTGCTTCATTAAGTGAGACTAATTTAGAGTAATGATCTTTTCTCTTTATGAATGAATATAAAGTTTTGAGTTGTCTCTGGGTTGCATCAGAGGCCTCATCCACTTTTATTAATAATAATGCAAAGAACCAGATTATAGCATCCCTGGAAAAATATGCATTAAAGCATTTATTTTCTTAGGCAGCAGTGGCTTTAACCAGTTCCTGGTAAGGTTAGTTTAACTTCACAGGTTTCATTTCCATCCAAGTGCTCCTGGAGAACAAGAGCTCTTATTTCTAGCAAAGAAATGAACTGAGGTAAATTTTCACTGTCTTCATTCTTCCTGTTGGATTCCTTTTTGTTAGCAACAACGTGAATTAGCAGTTGTTCAGTTTCATTTAGAGTTCTTCTCAGTGTGTGGTTTTGACTTACAGCATTTGAAAAAATAAAGGGTAATTTTCCTATTTTCAATCCCTCTGTCTCAGGTCACCATGGAAGACTTCATGAACTACTATGCAGGAGTCAGTGCTTCCATTGACAAGGATGCCTATTTCATTGTCATGATGAAGAATGCTTGGAAATTCTGATCATATGGTTAAAGAAGTGATACTTTACTTTCACCTTTTGTATGTTCCTATGATTAAGTGTATTTGTAACAGCACCCTCATGTTCTATAGCAGCAGTTTTCACTAACTTTGCCAACTACAGTCAATTTGCAGAAGTAATTCCCAGGTGGTACCCTAGGCTCAACCTCAGGGGATCAGAGCATAATCAGAGAGCACATCTGGCATCCAGCCACCCCAACACATCTGTCCCTGTTCTCCCTGCATTCTTGGCATGTCTATTGTTTTTTAAGAAGACCTGCTCCTTTCTTTTCAGACATCTGCAGTAGGTCCCTCTGGCTCCTGAACGCATCCTGTCCTCCAGTGTTAGATATAGGTCTGTTCCACAAAGAACCTTAGAGGAGGAAACTAAAATATTCTGGAAGTGTGGTGGTCTTGGGCAGGCTCTTATAAATGGGAGAATCTTGTCTCAAGGGGTCGACATAGCCCTTTCACCTGTAGCACTGCAGTATCTTTTGGCTTCTTGGGTCTCATTTGTGGGATGGTACAACTCCATATCCTGCTGCTGGGAATGTGTTCCAAAGGCTAGGAGAAACAAATCAAGAAGGGCAGAGAAGAGCAGAATAAGTGTAAAATGCCATTTAAAGCCCTGTTTTCTTACCTTTTTACAACTAAATGTACAGTCATACTGTGCATGCCTTATTTCAAACCACAGGGTTTTCCACTCCCCTTTTCCCCTGACTTTGATTCCTTTATATTTGTACTGTGAGATCATCTCAATGATATTTTTCTCTAAAGGGGATATATGTGTTACAGTACATTTTTCTCTCTGTTCCTGGAATATTTGCTGTTCTTGTAGCTGTTGTCTGTATACACCTACAGTGAAAGTTGTTTACTTTTTTGTACCAATGGTGGTTTATGACCAAGCTATGAATTCAGGAAACTTTATGAGAATTAAAGCACTTGTAACTTTCTAGTCTTGTCTTCTTCTTTTTCTGATGCTAAATAAGGGTTGGGAACCTTCCCCCCTGATCCCACCAACGAGACTGTCTCAGTTCATTTTTTGTCCTTTGCCCATAGAGACAAGGGGAAATGGCACACAAAGGAAACTTGGGAAAAAAACCCAAACAAACAAAGAAACAAACCCACAAAAAACCTCAGTGTGTGTGCGTGCTATTTATTCCTGATTTGATTCTTACTTCTTTCTGTTTCTCTCTCATCATTGTGCTGTTCTCCAAGACTGAGAAGCTGCTGCTGTAGCAAAGGCTAAGTGGTTTGTGTATGGCAGCATTTGCTCTATTTCAGTCTAGCAGCCAGCTAAAAGCAGTACAGAGTAATAGACTGAACTTTTGAAGGAGCTTTTCTGATGAAGTCTCAGCTCTTACTTAGCCTGGTTTGCTAACTCTTCAAACACTGAAGTCCTGAGCACTTGCTGCACTGACTCTGTGCAAACCCTGTTTTTGTTTTGTCCAGCCTAATGGCTCAGTATGAGCAATAGCTGCTTGCAATTCCTTACTGAAGGCTGTGCAAACTCAATTATTTTCTTTGACCTGTAAGCCAGAAACTTGCATGCTGGCT